TCCTGGTGTTTTCCCCTAGGCTTTGTTGCAGAGCTGATGGCACCCCTACAGAGAGTACCCTGGACAATAAGATCCTTCAGTGTATTCAGAACCACATGTTGTACACTGCTGTTGGTAAACTGTACTCATGTATGACATTAAAAAATACTCCTATTTGTTTTGTTTTTGAATAATTACCTTCATCGGTCATTTTAGTGTTTTATCAATTAAATTCACAGTTTGTTTTATCAAATACTCACCAAATACCAGTTTCATTTGGAGTCTGCTGCAAGTTTATAGGGCGATGTCATAATTGACTGCAGAGTTCACAGTACAACTGAAGGCCACACAGACTAGATGATGCTCATGTTTTAAGTCGCTGCCCTTTCATCATATGCTCAGTAACAGTAAGTGTTAGTATTATTCATTTTTGCAAGGATGAATCATTGCAGTCCCCCCATAAAATCAATGACTACTGATTTTAGCAGTTGGGTTGCTAGAAGTTCTACATGACAATCTAAAATAAGTATTTGAGAATTCCAGTGGCAAAAACAAAGCTTTCAAACAGGTGATACTTAAATATGTTTGATGCAAACTTGATTTGAATACAAGCAAAGAAAATGGAGGCTGCTGTAGATAAAACAAAGAGTTTCAGCAAATGGGGTTCTCTTATAATAACTGTAACAACTGAGATCACATCTGCTGCAGCTGTTTTGCCCCAGGAAAAAATCATGTTTATTATGCCATCTGTACTCTGTCCTTAAAAGTATTACGTGTACTATTGTACACACATTCAATGTTTACAATAAGCCCAGAGGTTACAGTTTTCCTACATCTGTTATTCTTGTCATTTTGTGTATCAGGCCTGAACAATGATAACTGGTTAAGGAATAACATCTACCCTTCCTCACCAGTAAAGTTAGACTCTTCTTTTGCCTCCTTACTAGTAAAAAACTGAACAATTAAGCTATAATAAATAAGGAGAGCTATACCGTGTAATACTGCCAGTAGTGTTCAGGAGTCATCAGCTAAAAGCAAAAAACTGAGTGTCAGTATGGCACCACTGCTAATGTTCTGCTGCATGAAATAGTCTACTAAAATATCATAATGAGACAGATGAACAATGAAATCTCTGAAACCTTTCAGGGCTTGAGATCATTTTGAGTGACTTAATGGTTTATTTATTTATTCAATCATAATAATGTATTATCCATGGAAGTAAAGGAGCTCCATCCGTCCCTGCCACCCCCTGGGGCAACAGATGTTTCACAGCCCATATGGTGACTTAATTTCTTTCATGGTCTCTCTTTCGTCTCTCTCTGCAATCTCAACATTGTTGCTTTCCTGCTTTTAAATAGAATTATGTAACAAGCTGGCCTCACACGAGGTTCAGTGGTTTGGGAAGACCTCAGTATCAAGCTGCTGCATCTTCTTCAAATTGAGGAGGAGCCACTGGTATAGGCACCTCTACAGAAAACCCCCAGGCACTTTCCTGGAGATTTAGGCACGGTCAACTGGAATAAGACCAGCATAGAGACCCAGTACAGCCTGGAGGCTTTACATTTCCCAGTTACCCATAGGAGATCAACATTTAGACCTGGGCACGTAGGCTGTCCTGTTCCTACTGAGACTCTGACCTGGATAACAAGCTGAGAAATCCATCAATGGATGGAACCAGGAATCCTGTGGCAGAAAGACCCAACAAAATCTTGAGTAATTGGGGTTGTTGCATTTTTCATTGTTGGTTGTTTTTGTAACATATAGTCTGTGCCTAATCGGATTATTTGACCAAAGGAATTTACTTTGGTGTTGCCTCCAGCAAAAGTAAACCATCACTATTCAGGAGACGAGTGTTTTGTAATTGTTTTTAGCATTGTCTGCCTGATTTCACCTGTCATTCAGTGATTTGGGCCCCTGGTGTCTGCAGTGTTGTAAAGTGCCAGTTATTTTCAGGCTCAATGAAAGCTTAGCCCAGGGAGAGAAAAATTACAGATAAATGTTGCAGCTGATTTATATTGTAAAAGTTAAACAAGGCTTTTCAAGCAAATCTTGAAGAAAATAGCACTTTACGACAGGAAGACTTTAAAGTGAGGAAATTTTGAAATGTTATAAATGGGGTGTGGCATATCAGTGCACCACAGCCAAATGCTTAATATGCAAAAGAAAAACCTTTAACTTTGGGGAGTTTCCCAGAATCTTACTACACTTCATAACTCTATCACCAGACAAGAACATCAATATACATCAAAACTCTGGAATGCATTCAAAGCATTAGTTACGCCAGCAGCATGGGTAGAATCACAATGTTGATAAGTTTTACACAAACACTCATGGTCCCCTAATTTAAAAAAAATTCAGATAATTACACACAAGACAATTCGATACAAATGTCAGCCATGTGTCGCATATTCTATGAAACCAGACTGTGAGCTACCACCAATGGTTATTCACCAGCTTTTCTTGCACATTTGACCAACGCAGTCTTTTACATTACATGCGAGTTCCTGTGTGAACACACATTCGTATTTTGCACTTGAATAGCTGCTCCAACCAACAATGGAACATAACAGAAATACAGCAGAGTTAGAGCTGGTCAATAGTTGTAAGTTGACAAAGGTTTCGTTATTATTTCAGTCAGTGACTTTGACACAATAATAAAGTATATAATCAAACATTCAGCTCTATGGTTGACTTCAAAATGAGAACCATCCACCACTTTATAATTTTTTCAAGCTCTACTGTTAGTGACTGTATTTACTATTAAGACTATTGGCTATAATCTCCATTAGCTATAAAATAGCTATCTCAGCTTGAGCATGTGAGAAATCAAGCCGGGTGCATCAAAAACATGTTTTAATAATGTAGTAATCTCACTCATTTTCACAATCCAATATCACAACATAACACCTTGTGTGTGAACATAAGCAAAATAAATACCCACTCCTTTGTAAAGGACCAACCCAAATGTATCCACATGTGCCCGCAATTTTGCACCTCTTAGCTTCTTTTTTCAGGGCCAGTATTCAGTGCAAACCTTTGAAAATACAGTACAAAATACAGACAAGTAGTTAATCAAAAGAGGCACAAGAGAGCAAGTGATGGACCTGTTTCAACAAGAGAAGCCATCTTCAAGGCTGGCCCTCGGGGAAAATGTACTATAATGGATGAAAAGAAAGATTAGTACGTTTTTTACCAGCATTGTTTTACATCCATTAATTCTCTCATTCCTCTGTGGAATATGTCTTTTCTTGGTCTGATTGCATAATCCTGTCTAATGTCAGCATGTATTTAAATGTGTAAATTGAAATTACATTTTTCTTATAATTTTTGTTTGTGTCCAATTATAGCGAGCCTTTGCATGACGTTCTCTCCTGCACACTCTGACAGTCAGGAATCTTGATACTTATTCAGGTGCTTGTTTCGGCTTTTTGGATCCATCAATCCTGGAGTCACAGATGACCAATGTGTGATACCCACACAAGTTCAAAGTTCACACATTCCCAAGCTGTCACTGAGGAATTTGTCATTACTGCAATCAGTCCTCATCATCTTATTACAGTTCATTGCATTTAACCCCAGAAAAATTCAGATGGCTTTTGCCACATGCTTGCTCATCTACGGATTGATGACCTGAACTCCTGTCATTCGTCTCCTAGCTTGTCAATCTAGTCTTTGGTTGCTGTCGCCACTTAATATGCTCTCGTGTGGAATGCTTCTAGACATAGCTGCAACTGCCTTCCTTTTTGTTCTGTTATTCAGTAATATTACCTGTCATTGTTATGTTGTACGACACACAACCTAACCTTTTCTTTCCCTCTGGCAGTACGCAGTGTGAGGTCATGTTGAGGATGGCAGCATGCTAGTGACGGCCTTTTACAGTAGCTCTGTGTCATTTTTACCATTTTATGGTTTTAATCTCATTGTTGTGTAGTGATTTAAATTGTATCTCAGACTGATATAATTATTTCTTCTTTATTTCTTTCTATGTAACCACGCAAACAAGTGGACAAGTGTCCAGTATAAAGAAGAGGCTAGAACTTCAAAAATAAATACAAACTTAATTCAATGCCTTGCACAATGTAAGACAGATAAAAGAATGCACTAGAGAAGGCTGGGAGCTACACAGTAGCTATAAAAACTGTACAATAAACTGGGCAAAACTGAGGCAGAATAGCCAACCAGGCACTGACACTGACTTTCATATAAATAATAAAAATACACAGTGAAAATTAAACGGCTGCTAATACTCAAACACTCTCCCGAGAGAGCAAAATTAGGCTCATAAAAACATACCGCCACTACACACCTTAAAAATCCCACACACTCACACACCCAGGACAATAGGTAGAATAGCACTGCAAACATGTCAAATTAGGAGCAACAAATAGAATTTATATGAAGCCTCAATCAATTACAGTTTATTAAGCTATGGCTCAAGGACTGCACAGTGCCCATCATCAAATATTGCACAATGCCTGGTTTAAACACAAATGAAAAAAAGAAAACAGAAAACAACAAAAAATAATAATTAGATTACAGCAAAAGGCCCATAATCCTAGCCAATCCCTCACATGGAAAAAAAGGTTACATTCTCGGACAGTCCTATTAAAAATAAACATAATATTAAACTGTCGCCAGACACATTTTAGGAACAATGTTTTCATTCAATTATCAACTCAATATGGTGTACCTTTAACTAACTTTAGTGCCCGGAGCCACAGTGTGCTTAATATCACAATGACCAATACTAAAGGGATAAAAAAAAAAGGAAAATACACTAAACACCTTGTTTGACAAACAGATATTGTGACATTTATCAAACTGTGTAGCCGTGACCTAACAATAACACCCTCCACTTCATGGTTTGCACCTTATGTCTAACAGGCACATTGATCAGCTGACTGGGAACTATGATACAAATAAACACCAGATTGATTATTTAAGTTTTTTGCTTTTATCGCCCAGTTGGGGTGATTGCTGGCGTATGATATTACAATAATATTTGCCTACCGCAAAACAAAATGTTTGGCGTCCCTCGTGACTGCACCACGCTGCACTTCGCCGGCCACGGACAGGTAGGAGAGAGAGACAGAGTGTGTGTGTGAGAGAGAGAGAGCGTTACTTCCGTTGTCCCCTAAATAATCTTCCCCAGGGTGCTAAAAAGCATCACCGTTACAACTGTCGCCCTAACTGTTGTTTATTTTAATTTTACTAAGACCAGGGAGATGGTTAACCAAGTGGTGTATCTCTTCATCTTTGCTCTCTTGATGCCTGATCGCGTTGTCTACACCCGCGACCGCCTTTTTGCCCTGCGGAGAATGGCCTCCACACCCGCAGAGTGGCCTTCTGTTCCCGAGGAACTGAGAAGGAGGCATCGCAGTGGATGCAGAGAGGAAGAGGAGATCCTCATGGTGAATGTCACGGCACTCTCTCCTCTAACCAACCTAACTTCCGCCAATTTGTGAACAGTTCAACCAGGGAAAGTAGGACATTGGACTTGTTATACAGTAACATTGATAATACATACAGGTAGGCTGCAGAGGACTGAGCTTACTCCAATTAACATAGAGGGGTCTGGGGTTAAGATCTATCTATCTATCTATCTATCTATCTATCTACCTATCTATCTATCTATCTATTCATTTGTTGATGCCACGTTGACATCGTTGACTGGATGCCCACCACCTCAAGCTCAGTCTTGACAAGAGTGAAGTACTCTTCTTTCAAGGCTGTTTCTGCCCTCTGCTAGATCTTTCCATCATCACTAACAACACTACAGTGACCCCTGCTACCTGTCAGCAATTTCACAGTAATTCCTGACAACCGGCTGTCATTCATCAAACATGTTCCATCACAACTACAACTCATACCTGTATATTAGTACTTCACATCGGCGAATTCAGAGCCTCACTAGGGACTCGTATAACCTCCTAGGTCTTTGTCTAGACTACAAAACTCCCTTTTGGCTGGGTTTCATATCAGAACCTGCACTAGTAGCCTCTGAATGTGGCCAATATATCAGTGGATGTGGTTCATGGGGAATAAGTGAGGAAAAAGCTCACTATCTATGAAAAGTAAAACTTTTATTTCTCTGAGGTTATTTCATTAATTGCAGACATCTTATCCCATGATTGCTTCCCCTTTGAGAAACTGTTGCCTTAGCTTAGTGAACTGCCCTTTATGATAAAATGACATACAGTGCTGCCGGGTTCTGAATTATTTGAGGTAGGTGATGAACCTTCAGAGAGTTCACTTTGTGCATTTGTGCATGCAAACGCACTGTCAGCTGACTGACGCAAAATTATCCCCTGAAACCAAAACTTAATTTCTAACAAGTAAGCCGTACTTACAAAAAGTCCTCTGTACCAAAACTGTATGTTCCTTCTTACTCCTCCCACTTTAGACTTGTATTTTTCTATGTGTTTTTGGATCATGTTCCATTTAGTCTCAGCTACCAGCATGGCTTTAACCTTATTCCTTTCCTTTTATCGCCCGAGGGCAAAAGGTAAATGGAGGATTCTATCAGTCCAAACCCCAACGCTGCAAAAGGCTTTCAACTCCACCAATTGAACCCACACGCAGTAGAGCTGTCAAGCTAAGCTGCTGAGCCATGTGAAGGACCAGTGAGGGGGAAGGAAGACGCAGACGCCATTACCGTCTGTTTATGCCAAGAGAATAGGGAAGAGGGGAAAAAACAGGGTCATTGAGCAGAACATAAAGGAAATTGTGCTGTGATGCAAACACAGAAAGCCTAAGCTTGCAGGGCTATCATCTAAACCTAATCAGGTGCAGTAATTTCAGCATACAGCGGCTTGGTCATTTTAAAGGTGTTATTAGAGGCCCCAATTTTCATCATGTCTTGGGTACTACATTATAGGTGAATGTGCCTGCATGAGAGTAAAAATTGCCCTGTACTTGAGGTATAGAGTGACACTCCCTAACTCCTTGTAACAAAGCATGTCATGGTCTGTAAGTGTGAAGAAGGTTTATTTCTTCTCATTTGTCTAGACCGAGAGATCTCTGGTCTAATCATGACCATTTCTTTGAGAGGAGTGGACTTGCAAGTGTAACTGATTGCAAGTAATGGCAGCAGCAGCCTATTGTGTTCAACTCACTTCGCCACATCTGTAGTCTTTACAGGCCACTTGATAGCACAGAAACCAAGCGAAAGAAACAGTCTTTGTGACTCAGATAAAATGGGACTCCTCTTGTTTGTTGAAACATAACTACAACAACCATGAATGTGGCGAACATAACATTATTTTCGATATACACAAGGTCAACACAATGAAACAAACCTTCAAAATTCTAACTCTATTGCAGACTTGGTCGCTCTATATATAACGTCACCTAACTAAAACATAAAATGATAAACTGCTTGCACAGACAACCTATGGAGGTGGGGGGTTTTTTTTGTTTCTTTTTTTTTTTTTTTACAGGAGGAAAATGTCGTTTCCTTGATTGATACGATACATGTTTGTGCAGTACCTGCAGTCTAAAACCAGGCAGTAGTTGTAAATATGCATAAACTGCAAAACATGACTGAAAATACAGTTTTTTTGAGCAGAATAAAGCGTTTAAAAAAAGTTTAGTAACTGCGTAGTGGTATGCAAGACATGGTTTGTGTTAAGTGTTCCATTTGAAGACACAGCCATATAGATTTGTATTTGCAAAAAATATTGTTCAGTCACCCCCTGCTTTCTAGTTAGGGCATTCAAATTTGTCATATTGCCTCCGGGTGTCTAGGAAAACAAGGCCTGTTAAGAGACTGTGTCCAGACGGCCTTCTGACTCTGCAGGAAAGCAGATGGTTTTTAATAATGCCCTACTCTCAGCTTCATGCCCCCCAGCTAGCCAGCCACACAAATGCACACACATACATACAATTTCTCTCTCTCCCCTTCTCTCCCTCTCACTTTCTCCCTCTCTCTCTCTCTCTCTCACACACACACGCGCGCGCGCGCACACACACACACACACACACACACACACCCCCCCCCGAGCTAGTGTTGCCAGGTTTACAGCTTCCCTGCTAAATTGGGCTTTTGTAAAAATTCAGTCACAGATAAAAGTCATAAAGTTGAAGGTTGGAATATTTTGGACTATACTTTTACATGATCTTGTGGTCACAAAAAAAAGTGTAACTGGTATATAAATACAACATAACGAGCATGTTAAGAAGGAACACTGACTCTGGTGTTAAATATCTTTCAACCCAAGGACAGAGCCAACAGCACATCCTGCACATGAGGGCAAGCACAGGGCTGGCACTGCCCACAGTCACAACATACCATTATATACCAAGCAGTCCATCCTCTAAGCATACACACTAACAACTTGCAGTTTCGAAACTAAAAAAGGGGGTATGGCGGGCAGGGGGGTTCTTGTTCACATTATCTAGTTATAGCTAGTCGAGACATAACATGCTAATATAAATAAGCTATTTTTTGAGTATTTTGCTCACCTATGCTTTGACATTCTGTGGTAATTTAAATCTCTCTCTCTCTCTCTCTCTCTCTCTCTCTCAGACATTGTCAGGGAAGCAGGACGTACGACACTGGTCTGTATTACTGTATTAGGTGAAATAAAGCAAAAGCTTGCAAAGAGGGAGCTTCGTAAAATACTCTGGGCTTTTCCAGAAGCCCATTGCATTGTGGCAACATTATGACCTTTATGACAAGATAGAAAATGTCCAGCCTCCTACTCCTACTCCTACTCTTAAAGAGCATCACGACTGTGGCTGTACAAATTGTGTGCTAGATTATAACAGTTATATATAATATATACTGTACTTTTATTGATGTTTTGAATTTATCGGCAACGTCCTGACTGATATTAGGAACAGGCTAAAGTACTGTATAATGCTACTATTGGCTATGTAGCAATAGCAAAAACTTACAACAGACTTACTCCTTTAAGAAATTAAAATATAGCCTCTGTCTTTGGTCTGGTTCAGAGCTCAAATTCAGCAGCACCAAGCTGGTTCAGTTAGTTAACATCTTTTCAAAACACAAGTCGGAAACAAATAACAAGGAGATACATGTTGAAACTTGCACAAGCATCTATTTTTTTTAACAGTCGGACTTTAAATTTCAACTGTCACCTATATTCAACAAATTTATATCTAGATTTCACAGCTATTTGGGCCCACATGCAGTTTACAGCCTCATCAAGAAACCATGGTGCTGACACTGTTTTTCATTGACAAGTGCAGTTGCAGTTGTATTGTTTATGATCATTGCTGAATCTTGCCTGGGAATACAGACCAAACTAACTGATGTCAAACTGTCTTTGTGAAGTTCTGTCATTAAAGTTCTCAGGACATCAGCTTTACCTCTGCCTGCATCACTTTTCAGAGCCGTTCCCTTCTTGTATTGTATGTGCCTTTAGCGTTAAGCAGTATAAAATATCCAGCAGCTACCATGAATGAGTCTTCACATACGCCAAGGCTCAGCTTCTTCTGCTGTAGTCCAGGGAAAGTGAAATATCCCCAATACCAAGCATGGTAGCATGAAAGCATTTGAAAACATCCTGTGCCGATGTGCTGTAGGTCACTGTCATTAGCTGTAGCTGCTGAATCTCAGTTGCTGGTAGAGGCCATATTTTTAACAAAGTATCATGTTACCATGCAGACCACCTGACATAGTGAGATATTTCCAGATTTACAAACACAGTGCTGGTTTAATTGAAAATGTTTCTGTTTGTGTTAAGCCTATTTGTTTGTTTGCTTGTTTATTTGTTTACTTTTTTCTTTTACACCATTCCACTTTGCACATACAATCGTAATAGCTCGACAACTAAATTACAAGTTTCATATAATGAGACATCATCCTCAGCTGAATGAAGCACAGTTTTCAAATGTGCATCCAGTACTGATGTCGTGCATGGGTGAATCTCAGGTTGCAACCTGGCAATGTTTTGGCAGAATGCCATTGTGTGTTATGACTTCTTCTCCTAATGCAAAACGTATCATCTGCTAAATCCGTCATTATAGACTATGCACTGATCAGCCCAATGAAATAAGAAACTCAGTAAATTAAATAAACTCAGTGAGAGAGTGAAGATGCTTACCGTGTATCATCTCTTTCCATCTCATAGTTTACATTATGTTATGTGCCTTTCTTGAATTTCTTTTCCTATTAGAATAAAATAGTAAAACACATATATTTCTTGTCAACTAACTATAAGCACAGTGAAGTCTGTTTGTTACTACTTTATAGGATTAGTAGTCATTCAAAAGCTGTTTAAGACTCGGGATGGCAGGTAAATACAATTAAGTACCACACAGAAAGTAACCTGCAGCATACTGGACATCAAGGACAATATAAAGCATCCCAAGTCCAACAAACACCAAGAAGTGAAGGTTAAATTGGAATATGGCTTTGAAAACCCTCTGGTATCCAAACTCACACACTCATTTACACACAGAGCCTTGCTTCTGACTATCTAGTTAGTCTGCCAAATGCTTTCCCAGGCAATAGAGGGCTCCCATGTGTTGATCCTGAAATGCATGAATCCATCAACAGGGCTGCTGGAGAAGGACATTTCAAAACGTTCTTGAAGTGACTCCTTTCCCATTTTAAAACTCTTTGACTAATGTTTCTATTAATTACCATATCTCACTGGGGTGACATTTAGATTTAGGAGGACAAACTGCGCATTCAGGCAAGAGCAATAAGTTTATTAAAGATTTAAATCAAGGATATATAACATTGACTCATTCTTTTACAAAATCTGCCTCGAGCTTTTCTGTCCTGAGGGGAAGGGTGTGAACATGTCATGAATAAAGTCCTGTTAAGCTGTAAAACCTTTTATCTAAAAGTGCCTCGAGGTGAAGTGAAAAAAAAAAAAAAATCAAACTTCTCCCTGAGTGATGGCCCCAAAAGTGTCGGCTTTACAAGTTTGGTCATGGACTGCCAACATACGGCAACAGTCATAATCATTTATAAGAATGTTTTTTTTTTTAGGGTAGACAGGCGTAGTTAATAACATTAATAATGGCTGTATTTCATTTAGATGTTCCAGCTCCCAGCCCCTGCTACTGTGCACGCTGGCTCGCTGGTTTTGCTTAGTGGGACACTTGCACTGAACAGAGCCATCATTAATGTTATTGGTTACACCTGTGCTTTTCCTGCACAGTCAAAATGTTTGCAGTGAAAGAAGCCCATTGTGATAAATTAGGGACTGTAGCTACCACAATAAAGTTAACCACAAAATATAGTGTTGCGATTCTTTTTCTGGACCATCACAACCATTAGTGTGCCGCTTGGAATGTAGTAGAGTTTCTACACGTACAGAACACCCCTGCAGAGATTCTGCAGCAAAGCCGCACAGATATTTGACAGCAGAGATCACACGAGGAAACATCATAGGCCATGGCATAATCATTTACCATCTTGCAAATATATTTCGCCTGTGACTACAGCAGCGACCTTTGGACACCAACTGTGGTCCATCACTTCATGCAGCATTTAATTGCTGCACTAAAAAGAATGCAGAAACCACAAACTGACCTCAGCCTCGACAGCTCAGTAGCGCTGAAGGGAAAGATTGCTTTACTTTGGCCATACAACACTTATTAGTCGAAAATGGATTTGTCACTGATCTCAAGTCACATTAATACAATCAGCAGCATCTCACCTTTGAAAACATGTAGCTAATTCTTTGCTGTTATTGTGAATGCAGTGGTCAAAAAAAATTACATGCAATATTGTCTTACAAGAATTTTATGTGTAAAAACTGTTAAAATTAGTCTTTAGGCAGCTTTATCACATACAACCATATTTTACATGACATAATGTATTTATTTTGGACAATTATAATTGTCTCACATATGGTTCATTAACTTCTATATCACACACTTCATAAAAAAAATGATGCACTGTTAAGGAAATATATGTCACTTTCACTGCACTACAGTACCTTCGTTACAATTAAGATAATGATGCTCAATTCAGCATGCTTTACTCCCCATGACATCCACACAGGTGCACATATTGCCAAAGTTTACAACAGAGTGACAACATTTTTTTTTAACATCCAGAACAATAAAATTTTCCACAAAAAAGACTACTATATTCAAGAGGGATAAATATGAAATGGCCTGCTGCTGAAATTGTTCATGTTGATTTGTGATCTCTCATGCAAGCTGAGACCTAACAGCAACGCGCCCATACACCCCCTGGCGTCACACACAACACATCACACAGATTGCATCTAAATCATACCAGCGCAACATCGCGGGAGACACAAAGCTATAAAGCTAGCATGCAGCTCTTGTGCGTGTTGTGAGCATCATCTGCATGAGGAAGAGCATTGATGGCATGTTCAAGAATCCAATCCTGTGAACACTGAGGTGTGAAATAAATGAAGATCATAACCGCAAGTGGTCACCCACTGAAAGAAATGTTGCCCTTATAAAATCAAATTTTGAGGCTTTAACTGCTGCATTTTAAAGCTTGCCATTGATAAGATGTCAGCATGATGTAAGCAAGGTATGAAGATACGTTAAGGAATGAACAGTGATGATAAATAAATTGTTATTTCCTGAGCAGGTTTTCATTCATTCTTGGGCCAGACAATTTGTCTTGACCTGGCAACTCTGCATGGAGCTGGCATTTGGCACAACCTGAAGATTCTTTCCTGCCTGCATATGCAGCAATGTTTGTTGTCAGACAGCCAATCACACATGACAGGGCAGTCAAAAGATGACATGAGGGGAGAAAACAGCCACTCGCTGTCCTTGCCCCTGAATTCTCAAAACTCCACTTGACTACACTGTGCAAGCAGTAGTGCCTGGGTGGCAACAATTGTTGCCTGTCTTTCTACATTTTTTCCTACTGGAGATGACTGACAACACTCACCACCCACTCTGCACTGTTTCAGCACATAATGATGTGACTGTTGTGTGTGGATGAGCAGAGAATGTTGTGTGGTGTCTTGTTGTCAATCAAGCACAGATGAGCTAAACCAAGAATGAGGCAGTTCTTTGCCTCGTATAGGTGCATCTGATATTCTGAATACACATTAAAAAGATGATCTGCTGACCGCTTAATGTGCTCACATTTTGTTGTAAACGTTTTAGAATACCAAACTATGATATCACAATTGCTATGTTATTATCTCTTTTGTTATTTCAGACCCTGACAGTGTGCTTTTCACTCCATAGCTTTCCAGCCTTGCTTATCTGTTTTTGCCTGTTTTCGACCACCAGCTCTTTTTGGATTTTGTCTGTTGCCTGCTCTTTTTGCTTTTCTGCCTGGTTTTCCTGCCTGACCACTACTGCATGCCCTGACTTTGCCTATAGCTTATCCCTGCCTGCTTCTGTCTGCTGGCTTCAATAGTAAAGGTGAACTGTTTTGAACTTTCACCTTTGTCTCTGCGTCATGCTATTGAGTCCTCCCTGTCCTGAGCCGTGACAGTACAGTTTGGCCAGTATGGACTCAGCAAACTCACATCCCCTACACAAAGATCTTGCAGTTCAGGCCAAAGCCATTCACCAACAGCAACTCACCTCACTAACTGTAAATTTGCAGGAGGTTTCTATTTTCCACAAGCACATCGTAGGGACCATCATCGGCCGATCGAGCAACTCACTGCCCAAATCCAGCCTCTTCCTGCCCCATCAGTCCTGCACCATCAGAGTTGGAGAGGCAGCCTCCCATCTGTTCACCTGTCAAGCTGTTCACATGTAAGCTGATGAAGGTGTCCGACCACTCTGCCCCCAGGAGGAAGACAGCGAGAACTTGATGAGTTCATTTCTCTCACTATCCATATTGCTTGGCTTCACCAGTAACCAGGAGGATGCCGGTCAGCCGAACTCAACTCTCACTCTCTCTTGTTTTCTTTAGCATCTCATCTTTCTGGATCAAGTGCATGTGTGTTCCTCGACTTCAGGGAGGACCCCAACTTTAGGGACTGACGGTCCAGTTGGGGTCCTCAACTGACGTCTCCTATCCCACATCACCCATCGCACACCTCCCCTGCATATGAGTATGACAAGTAACCACTGTGAGACCATTATCTTTCATGTCATTAACTTACCACACTTACTGCTCGTTTTGGGTTACCCCTGGCATTGTACACATAACCTGCATGTTGAATGGGCTACTGGGGTCCAATTCTGGTTACCATTCCCATGCTGTCTGTCTGAAATCAGCCACATCACCTTCCCTGCCCTCTCTGATGTTCCCGTTAATATCTGTTAAACAAGGCCCGAGCCACCTCTCTGCCTCCTCATCATCCATACAACTGCACCATTGACCCTCTGCCTGGCACCTCTCCACCCAAGGGGTTCCTATGTTCCCTGAGAAGTACACTGGTGAATCCTAGGCAACAGGCATTATCCGTCCGTCCTCTTCTCCTGCTGGAGCCGGATTCTTCTTCATGGAAAAGAAAGATAACACTTTTGGACTGAACAACATAACAGAACAGGTAGTCCCTCCCACTCATTTTGACTGTATTTGAACTGTGAAAGGGGCCACTGTATTCAATAAACTGGACTTGAGAAATGCATATCACTTTGTCCACATCTGGGAGCGGGATGAGTGGAAAAAAAGTCTTTAATATACGCAGTGGTCATTATGAATCTGGTCTCACCCACGCTCCTGCTGTTTTTCAGACTCTGGTCAATTATGAACCCCATGGCATGCTGAATAAGTTTGTCTTTGTTTATCTGGACGACATTCTCATCTTCTCTTAAACTAAGCAGGAGCACACTCAGCATGTGCAAACTGTTCTCCAGAGGCTACTAGAGAAGCAACTCTTTGTAAAAGCTGAGAAGTGTGGGTTTCACACTGTGTCCTTTGTGGGGTTTGTCATCATCCCTGCAACCTGCGTCGTGGAAGCAGTCACCTGGGGAATCGAGCAGCAGGTAATAGCCTTTCACACTAATTACCCTGTTTCCAGGCCGATAAATTAAAGACTATAGACTCCGGAGCTGTATCAGGGAGAAATGTCACAAATTAGCACATAAATGAAGGTAATTGTATATGAGAACTGTGCATTTATTAAGTCTATATGATAAATAAAGCTGTATTGTTACTGCTACTGCATAATGTCAAACCCTACAAAATGGAGCTAGAGGTGTGATTTGTCATGCTATCAAGTTACATCTGCAACAGCTGCACAGTGACAGAAATTATTTGTTCCTGCACTGCACTTCAGGGTTTAGAGCTGAGTGTAATAGGTGCATATTAGAACAAATCTCTCCGTATTCAATAGTCCCATTGAAACTTAATAATAAATAAAACATATATATATATATATATATATATATATATACATATATCATAATCATAATGAGAAATAATGAAACAGAATCATTAAAGAAAATCTCAGCGTTGAAGCAAGAATATAAAGATAGTCACAAGATCCGTTTTTTTTTTTTTTGCTTAATAAAGATTTGTTATTCTAAGCAGTAAAGATTTATTTATGAAGTTGGTGAACGTTTGACAGGTGGGGCAGCTGGAATGAGCTGGAACAAAATGAGAGGAACCTGCAGGATAGGACATGAATTGGAGAGATGATTTGAGCAGTGAGCTTGAAGGTGTGGTGACAGTGGACTTGATGAAGGCAGCTGCCAGACTGAGAGACAGATACACAAAAATATAAAGAGAGAGAAGAGAAACTGCAAAGGAGGAGGAGGGAGAACACTTTAAATCCATCTGCTGTCTGCCAGCTTGTCATTTCTAACCAGCCAACCAGTACCATAGGTGGCTTACGGAGGAGTGTTACGTTTTAGCATTCACCAGGCAGCAGCCCTAACCATTACCCAGCACACACACACACGCACACGCACACACACACACACACACACATACACACAAACACACACACACACACACACACACCAACACAAACACATACGCATACACAATAATTTAATCAGTATGTAAGAACTTAAAAGCATTAATTCAATTAACTTTGCAATATGCCCTGATGCAAATTGCACCAGATGGAAAGTCGTTTCCTGGCATAATCATGCATTAGAAAGACAACTTCAAAAAAATCTGCAGGACAAAATGAAAAGATTTGCATCATATTTTGAAAACTGGCATGGCATAAATGTCTTGTGAAATAACCACTGTGTCATTGCAGCAAATTACTCCATCTACTAGCCCCTCAAACATCTTCATTACACACAGATTTAAACAGAACATTAACATCTGTCATAAGTGGCCTCAGGTCCTTTGTAAACCTCATAAATATCAGGAGATACTCATAGGCAGCAGTCATGTTGCTTATGGTTTCAGTATCTTGCTACTTGCCCTACTTGCATTGAATGCATGTGAACAGAAAAACAGTCTATTAACCAGATTCTCCTGGTCCCAAAATTTCACTGATGCCCACATGCCCAAGTCTCCTATATCTGTTGATATAATCTATTACTGTATAGTAAGTATATCCAAGTCAGCACACTGGTGCCGGCCAGACACTAGGGGAAATTATAGCCTGTTTTATTTGTATGCTACTCATTAAAAAAGAAAAAAAAAAGGCACATCTTGCACATCTAGAAGTTACAACGATGTCATCTATATCCAAACTGTGATGGCAAACCATTTATCTAGTGGCTGTTTTCACTGAAATCCCATGTTTTAGTGAGAAGTGGGAGAGAGAAAGCTTCCTGCCATGTCTCTGTAGGGGCGAAATAACCACCAATCATGTCCTCAATTATAACAGCAGAGTACACCAGAAAAATAAGAGGGAGGGATGCCAATAGTCTGGTGATGGTTTGAAGTCACTTCATTTGGAGCAGTCTGGAGACATGGTTAGTCCCTTGTGCTATCAGGACATCAGAAAAAGTAGAGCAAGATGTGGTCTGGCTGCATGGGTGCACCTGGGCCTGGTTGTGGATTGGTCCACAAGCAAGAGATACACTGGATAAAATTTAGCTCCTTTCTCATCCTATCACTGAAAATACTAAATTAGCTTTGCTACTGTGTTGCTGAAGAGGGATGTGAACATGAACAAGATCCTCATATCCCTGTCTCCCTGGGATGGTTATGCTTAGTACTCAGCTGTTTTGTGGCAACAGTTGCTAAGAACAGGTTGTAAAAGTAGGGTAAAGCAGCATCTAAGGGAGTTCGCTGTCCAGCTATGTGCTAGGGCATCTGAATCTCCCTGGGGAAAACAAACATTTTATCATAGGTACTCAAAGCCATAGCAACGGTGATAGCAGCATTGTACTCATACTGCTTCCAGTGCCGGATAAGGAGAGGTGCCAGGAGTCCTCAACCTTATACCTCTTGGGAACTAGTAGGATTTAGCAAGGGTTAGGGCAAGTCAAAACAAGTCTCATAGTGGGGGTTGTCAGGGTGGAAGGGGGGGGGGGGTCAGCAAGCTGGGAATACCATAATTAACTCAATGCCAGCCACTAATTAAAGGTAGGCCTTTTAACATCGACTGAAATAGCTTCTTTCATGATGTCGCTATTCTAAATTAAAACAAGGGAAACAATTTCATGTCAACAATTAAGCCCCTAAATGATGGCAGATTTAGTTCATTGATTGACACATAGGGAAAAGGACAAGTGATGTAAAGGTAAACATGGAGGAATATATGACTTTGAAAATGCAAACTCAGAGGTAAATAAAGCTGAATCTAATCAAGATTTAAAATGATGTAGTTTATTCAAGTTCAAAAATTACTGGCAAAGCATAAAGACACCACAAAGGCATCTTGATTCAGCTGCATTAGTTAACACCTGTTAACAGGATATGACATTTGCAACATCATATTCATGGGTTCAGTTAGAGGAGGTTCGATGTGAAGATAAGTACTGGCCATCTGTGAGGGTGAAGAGGAGCATGTCCTCTAAAGTGTTCTGAGCTTAAGCTGTAAGATACAGGGAGGAGGTAGCAGGGTGATGTGAGCAGCAGAACCTTGGTGCCCTGACCAACTGGCCAACACAGCTTGAATGCCGGGTTGTCAAGGCCACAGACCTTCTCCATTTGACCTTTAAACTGGTGGCCTATGAGTTGAACGCCCATTATAAGAGTGATCTCTAACCAAAAACATTACAAATATGCCATAAACAATAACATATTAACAACAAAGGAAACCACGTTGTGTACACAGGAAAAAAGTGGATATTCAGATGGAGGTCGACATCCCAATACACAGTGTCTTTAGATCGTCCTTTATTAGTCCGTCAGCAGTGGTGGAAATTTGCTGTGTTACAGCAGCAAAGTGGACATTACAAAAGAAATGAAAATATCAAATAGTAAAACTTTACCAAAGATGAATACTAGATAAATAATATAGTAAAGCAATGTAGTATGTACAAAAAAATATGTCATAAATGTCAAAATGTTCATTTTGAATAATAGAGGCAACCTGTTACAAAGATATAACGGACAATTCGCTGAGTATCAAGGAGCCATCACCAAAAGATCCAAGAAGTAAATTAATCAAATTAATGTCTGTGTATGTGTTTATGTTGTGTCATGCAAAAAGTGACATACACCATTACTATAACATGACATATGGTAAACCTAGAAAAATGATATAAAAGAATGGATTTGTGACACGCAGCTGCCGGTGATAATAATGTACACCACACTGAAACACAGCACAAAAAAAAAAACAAGCAAATTTCCTTTACTAGAGATGACCTACCTTCACATACCAGATTGTGACATTAAATAAAAGAATAAAATAGAGTGGAAAAAGAGACATGACGAGAAAGCACGGGGGCACAGTGATAATAGGCTGCATTAGCCACATCTGCTGGGAATAGGCCTGCAGAGAGGCTACTTGCTCAGTGAAGTGTAATCTTCAGTGGCCTGGCCCCTGTGACAGCCAGCATAGTGAGTGGTTTGGGTGCGGCCAGTGGGGCCTTACACAAAGCAATGAGTTTCACTATGGCAGGTAGGGGATACAAATAACACACATACAGCATAAACACAGGGGGAGGGCATCAGACCATGTAGGAGCCCAGCATGAAAGGTAGATCAGCGGTGATATAGAGAGAAAACTAGATGTTGGAAAGGGGACTGTGGGGAAATTGGCTGGAGGGCGTGAAGGGATGAGAGAGAGAAGATAGAAACTAGGCAGCGATGGTAAATAGAACAGAGCTGTAGATGTGGAGATGCAATGGGAGGAAAAGGGTGGATGGAATGATAAAGAGGATAACTATAGAATAAAGAGGGAAAGCTGAAAGGATAAAATAAGATACAAAGACAAAGAGGGGGTGTAAAAGGAATAGATAAAAACAGAGAGAAGCTGAAAAATGATCACATAGGCTCAAGGGGAATGCGTAGAGTAACCTGGTCGAGAAGTACCAAATGATACACTTGTAAATGGGTAAACCACAGACTTGTCTTTATGACAAGTGGTGCCTTTGTTGAACTTTTATTGACTTTTAGTGCCTGAAATGTATTTCATTCATCTCAGTGAGAAGAAATGAAAAAAAAGTACATTCTTGTACAGAATAAAGGAATTCTGGTATAATAAATGTAGCAGGGGTCAGCAATCAGGTTCAACCGTTGGTCGTTTTTTTTCAGTGTTGTTCATTGGAGGGCCAACTTAGTTTTAGTGGCACTGTGGAGATGTAGGCTGAGCAAATTCATCATCACATACATCAATCATGTGACCCTAATGTCCATTGAAGAGATGAAAAGGCGGCAGACAAAAACAGAGCTGCGTGGAGTGATGAGGAGACTGCATGCTTCCTCAAATTAAGACATGAACCCCACAGAAACGCCACAATTCCATCATAATTTCTTATTTTTTTCACCATTTTGTCATCTTTTTGGTTTAATGGCACCGACTAGAAAATTGGCACCGTCAATTGTTTATCTTGATGAACCAACTTCTAATATTTGCATAACGGCAGTAGATGGAAACAAGCATTAATTAGTATTTTGTTTT